TGCACAAGACACACCGGACATAAGACACGCATGCAGTAACACACACACACACACGCGCGCACACTACACACTACACACTACACACACTACATACAACGCGTCCACTGCATCATACGCCCAATACGTATGCGCACGGTCGTCCAGGCAGAGCATGCGTGGCATTTTCTCGACACCATACGGGGACCGCAGGGGTTGGTCCCTCACCTCAGCCGCTATGCACGCCCGTCGTTCAGGGCATAGCAGGCGTGGCATTGTGTCGTCGTTTTCTTATTCATTGTTTTGCCGATCGGCGCAGGCCCTCGCACCCCCACTCCCCCCCCCGTGGAGTAGATCTTGGCTGTTTCTGGCGCTTGTTTCGAGCAGGTGGAGTCCCTCTCCCATAGGACGCACTGTTGCAAACAGTTGCAGTAAGCAGAGGTCCAGAGCCAGACCCCACCCCTACGCCCCCTTTCCGCCAAAGGCCGAAACTCCGAGTTAGAAAACGCTCACTTTCTCGATTCCACAGGGGGTGCGCACGGGGTGGTCACCCAGCGCGGCCGCTATGCACGCCAGTCGTCCAGGCATAGCAAGCCTGGCACTTTCTCGATCCCACAGGGGGTGCGCAGGGGGTGGTCCCCCAGCGCGGCCGCTATGCGCGCTGGTCATCCAGGTGATAGCAGGCGTTGGACCTCACAGGGGACGCGCAGGGGGTGGTCCCTCACCGCGGCCGCTATGCGCGCTGGTCGTCCAGGGCAGCAGGCGTGGCATGTTCTCGACCCCGCAAAGGGGGGTGCGCAGGGGGTCCTCCCCTGCGCGACCGCCGTGCACGCCCGTTGTCCAGGCATAGCAGGCGTGGCACTTTATCGACACCACAAGGGGTGCGCAGGGAGTGTTCCCCCGGTGCGGCCGCCATGTGCGCTGGTCGTCCAGGGCATGGCAGGCGCGGCATTTTCTCGACACCATACGGGGGGCGCAGGGGGTTGTCCCCCACCGCGGCCGCTATGCGCGCCAGTCGTCCAGGACATAACAGGCGTGGCACTTTCTCGACACCTCAGGGGGTGCGCGGATGGTGGTCCCTCACCGCGGCCGCTCTGCGCGCCTGTCGTCCAGGCACAGCAGGTGTTACATTTTCTCAGCACCGTAGGGGGTGCGCAGAGGGTGGTTCCTCACCGCGACCGCTATGCGCGCTGGTCGTCCAGGCAGTAGCAGGCGTGGCATTTTCTCGACACCATAGGGGGTGCGCAGGGAGTGGTCCCTCACCGCGACTGCTACGCGCGCCTGTCGTCAAGGAATATAGCAGGCGTGGCACTTTCTCGACACCATCGGGGGGGCGCAGGGGGGCGGTTTCCTAGGGCTCAGCGCGAGGGGTATGCACCAGGGGTATGCAAGCTCGTGGCATTTCTACTTCAGCTGTCATCACGCCAGACACAGTGTAAGTATGTGGGGCTCCTCGGTGGCGTAATTCCTCGGTGGCCCCGCCCCTGACGGGAGGACGAGCCGCGCTTACTGCACAGCCCGGGGGCGCTTCGTGCACGGGCCTGCCCTTCTCGCCTCTCTCTCCGGCGGTTTTTTTTTTGCCGAGGGCCTCGCCGGCAGGGGCGCTTCTAATAGGGGGCGGCGGGCCCCGGGGCCCCGAAGCAGGCGACCTGAAGGCCGCGCGACGGGGTGGCGCGCGTGCAGACGGAGGTGTTATTTGGCCGTCGTGAGCTGAAACCGCAGGCCTAGAGGTTGACACCAACACCAAGATCGGCCGCGTTCCTCCACCGAGGGAAGAACATCCCGATCTCGGTGATGGTGGTAATACTGTGGCTTGCAAGGTAAACGAAATATTATCACCAACACCGAATTCTAGGATCGTCTTCCCCCTTTGGAGGCACCCCCCTGTGTTGGTGTTGGTGCCCATTTCCAGGCCTCCAAAAGAAGTGCATGTCTTCCTGGGGGCCTGCTGAGAAGGCAGGGGCGTCTCTGAGAGGGCAAGGTGGGCCGTCTCGGAGTTGCCCCGAGGCTCCTAAGAGGGCATCTTGCAAGCCTCGAGGCGCTTCAGAGAAGGAGACCCCCCCCCCCCTGGCGCCTCCCCCTGGCCCTCGCCGCCACGGCGACCCCGCCCTTCGCAGCTTCTTGTATCCTGGATGGTGCGATCAATCACCTCTGTGAAGTCTGCCGAACGGGGCGCGGTGTGCGCGGGGGGGGGCTCGCTGGGGGCGGATGCCCCGCATGTGCCCCCCTGGCCTTCGTGAAGGGCCAGGAGATGACGGGGAGGAGGAGGAGGAGGAGGAGGAGGAGGAGGAGGAAGAGGAGGAGGAGGAGGAGGAGGAGGAGGAGGAAGGGGAGGAGGAGGAGGAGGAGGAGGAGGAGGAGGAGGAGGAGGGGCAACAGAAGACGCGCGGCGCTGCGGCTTCAAAACAAGGGCCCGACCCGAACAGCAGGAGACCTTCTGGAAGAGCATGCAGCTTGGCGGCGTCGAGTGTCTGGAGGCCCATATCCCGACCAACAGAATCTCCCCCAGGACTTGTTCATTGGCTTTCTGATTCGGCCAGAGTGTCGAGGAAAGCCCAGCCCCCGCCACGGGAGGCCTCCCGGAGGTCCTGAAAGGGCCCAGGGCGCCCAGGGACTTCGCGACCCTCGGCATTCACCCTGTCTCCCGCCTCCTCCCGCCCTCGCCCTCCCCTCTTCGGTTCCGACGATCGGGGGGGGGATACAGTGGGGCCGAGGTACAAGATCGAGGTCGGTTAGGGGAGGGCACCCCAGTGCTCTCCGTATTTGTCGGAGGGTCTTGTGCATCGTGGGGAGGGTGCCCCTGGATGTTCTCTTCGCTTTGGCCGGTGGAGGGTCTCATTCAGGAGGGGAAAAAACACACAGATACAATTAATCGTCGATTCCCCAAAAAATATGGGAACATTTGGGAAGTGGGGGGGAAGACAAAAACCAGAACATATAGGAACATATGGGGAATTGTTTTACTTGTGTGTATTTATTTGTGTGTTTGTGGGCCCCTTCACTCATGTTCTTGCTTGAAGGATGTTCCTTTTTTGGCCCAGGGTCCGACCGTACGGCACCTTGGGGGGGGGGGGCTCGAACGCGGCCGCTTTCGGCTCCGCCGCGGGGCCCTCTCTCCTCGATGCGCTGGCGCCCCCTGGCGCCAGGAGCATCCTCTGCGGGCAACGTCTATGTCCACATCCAGTGCGTCTTGGAGTTTCGGACACTCTTCCCAAGAAAGATAAGGCGCACTGGAGATGGATTATAATATGCCTCCAAAAGGCTCAATGCTCATCCATCTCCAGTGCGCCACGGCCTTGCGGCGCCCCTTCCAAGAAAGTCCAAGACGCACTGGATATGGATATAAATATTGCCCGCATCATCTGCGGGAGCTGGTCTGCGGATCCTGGCCAGCTGATCCGACGACACCCCTCTTTCATCCGCCCCCCTTCGCGCGGGCTCCGGCGGGACATTTGGGGAACAAGCGATGACATAAACATGAAATTTCGGAGGTCCGCGCGGATTTCTCGGATCCGCCCTGGACCCCCCTGGCGGCGCTTCCGGCGCCGCCCCTGGCGCGCTCCGCGCGCCAGGGAGGGGGGTCCAGCGCCGATCCGAGAAATCCGCGTGGACCTCCGAGTTTTTATGTTTATGTCATCGCTTGTTCCCCTAGATACGTCGACCTCCCAATCGCCCACTCCTCTCGGATCTGGGCCTGGCAACTGGCCAGCCCCGCCCAGGAGCGCGTGCAGCCATGCGCCTCTGCTATCGGGAGCCCGCCGCGGGTCTGTCGGCGATGTCTCGCCGACCCCAGGCTCACGCATTTCCCCCCTGAGCCGGTCCCCCCCGCATCGCCTAGCGCTGCCCCTCGACTAGTCACTAGTCCCCCCGAAAGCAACACAGCAGAAGCCGCGTGTTAGTTAGCCCTCCGTCCGCCTGAGGCCCCGCCCGCACGCGCCCTGACTCCCCAATTAGTGCTTTGCGCGCCCCGCCTAGCTCTTAACCAGAAGAGGCTCACTCTCGACCCGCAGGCCAAAAATTGGTTGTTCTTCACGCGGTAAAAGGGCATCTTTGCCCTGACTGAACCGGGATTCCGGCACGACGCGCGGGCAGACGAGTACGTTGCGTGGCTTTGTCTCACATGCATCAGCATAAGAACATCTGACGGGGCTAGGAGGATACATCCGTTCGAGATCGTTCCTGAACGCTCTCCGAGCGTCCCAGAACACTCTGAGAAGACGCCCGATACATCTTCCAGCACCATTGGATCTAAGGGATAATCGTTGTACCCTCACCCGGATTTGTCCTCGTCCTGGCTTCGTCTTACGACAGGGCGCCCGACGGCGAAGCAGAACGTTCCCACACATGCAGGACGACTGCGTCCCGAACTCGCCCAGTAAGCTCAAGTCGGGCCTGTCCATTTACAGAAGGTATATTCAAACATGGTAAAGATAACACTCAGACGTACATATATATATATATGTATATATATATATTGAATAGGATTGACGGCTACACAAACATATTTAAACAATGGATATTTCAGTTATATATATATATAATGTTCACTCTGACGGTTACATAAACATATACATACACACACACACATATATATATATATATATATATATATGAGCACTGACACTCTGAATGGAGAATACTCTGACGAGTACACACATATGTATACATATATATATGAACATTATTTTCATATTACATATACGCAATTGTCCGCCACAGAAGCCGCCTGTAGGAAGACATGCCCGACCGAACATTACGCCGACGGGGCGGGGGAGGACATCCGGGGGCGCGAGCACGCTGCCACCTCGAGGGGAGCCCGGGCGCGACGGCGCGGCTCCCCACAGGGGCTCGCCCAGCCTCGCTCGACCCCGGTTCTCGATGCCCCTCGAGCCCGACGGCGGAGGCCCTCTCGGCCTTTGGGTCGGCAGGAGCGCCGCGCACAGGCCAAAAGTATCGAGAGGAGGAGGAGGAGGAGGAGGGGGAGGGGGAGGAGGAGGAGGAGGGGGAGGAGGAGGAGGAGGAGGAGGAGAAGGAGGAGGAGGAGGAGGAGGAAAAGAAGGGAGGAGGAGGAGGAGGAGGAGGAGGAGGAGGAGGAGCAGGAGCAGGAGGAGGAGGGGGAGGAGGAGGAGGAGGAGGGGGAGGGGGAGGGGGAGGAGGAGGAGGAGAAGGCCTCCTCTGGCGCGCCCGCGGATTTGCGCTGGGCGCGCTCGCAGGGGGACCGGCCAAGGCTACCCTTGCACCCTCGGTATTGCGACCCTCCCTGAGCGCACAAGGGCCTTGAATCCTTACTTTGCATCCTTGCTATGGGTAGTGACCGTATGCGCGGGAAGTCTTCCCAATGTGTCACTGATGTCGGTGGGTCGACCCTTTTATATGCCCTGGAAACGACAGTGCCGTTTTTGGTGTTGTTTCCGTTTTGCAGTTTTGCATGTATTATTGCTAGTTTTGGGGTGCCGTTTGTTCCCCAGTCTTCCCGGTTATTGTTCTAAGTAGTTCCAATCCCAGAGTTCTTTTTGCGTGCCGATTCCAGGGGTTTCTACCGTTTCCGTGTTCGAGAGGTTTGTTTTGGTTTTCTTTCACGAAGCGGTTACCAAATGCCTTTGCCGTTCCCAAGGCTATCAAAGGTCAAATTTGCGACCATTTACTTCGTTTGCCAATCATGGGAGCATTGTGTGCCCCCGTAATTCCGTTTTTTGAGCTCATTTGCGTCGATTGTCGTTTGGTGATTGATGCCATCGCGCCGATTGATCGTCGACTTAGCGTCGATTTCGCTTCGACAAGCGTCGTCGACTGGTGTCGATTGGGCGTCTATTTGCAAGAGCCAACCAGGTGGTATGGGAGGCTCCCATGAGCTGCCCCAGAGCTTTTCGAGCCGCTGCTCGTCCTCGGACGGGGATGGGGGCTAGGACGAGGACGAGTCCGTTCCAGAGCGTTGCGCAGCGCCTTCCAAGCGCTCTGGAACGCTCCGAGAAAGCTTCGACTTCTCGCCTGATTTTTGTTGCCTCGCCTGGGCCTCGCCTTCCTCTAGAGGCCCCGGCTCGTCCGACCCGCCCTCCGCCCCACGCAGCTGCGACGGCGGCGGCGGCGACGGCAACGAAGACGACGACGACGACGACGGCGGCGGCGATGACGACGACGACGACGACGACGACGACGACGACGGCGACGACGACGTCGACGACGACGACGACGGCGCCTCCCGCAGCCGCTGGCGGCTCGCGCCCTGGGGCGCGCCCTCGGCCCCCCGCCGCGCCCCCTTGGGCGCGCGGCTCGCCGGTCCGCGCCCGCGTGGGCCCGCGGCCCGAAGCCAAGGCGAGGAGGTGGCCTCGGCCGGTCGTCGTCGTCGCCGTCGTCGGAGACTTCTGGAGTTCTCAAATCTTCGATTAGGGGATCGATTACAGAACCGATGTGCCCAAAACTTGTTTGTCGTCGAATGTACAAACAGTACGTATTTGTCAATAGGCGCTTAGCTTTCAGCGGAAGAGGTTCGCTATCGCCCTGCAGATACAAAACATGTATTTGTCAATAGATCTACGAACACGAAAGTTTCGAATTGCATGTCAGTTCTGGGGTAAATCAATTCTGTCGTCGACCCCCTGCTCGAAATCTTTTGGCGAGTCAGAGGACACATCGCGTTGCCTGGCTTTCTTTGCATCCTTCAGGTGTCTGTGGCCAGAGTCTAGGCCCCAGGGGCTTTTTCAACACGACCAAGGCTCGCGCTGGAGTTTCTTTGATTCTCAGCGCTCGTGGGCCCTCTGTTCTCTTGCATGTGCTGTTTGTGATGACCCGGTCGGTGTCTTCTTCTGTGCAAAAGACATGTTTCAGGAGGATCAGTGGGCCAGGGCTTTGTGGGGGAGGGGTAGGTCTGGTAGTCTTCACACTTATTTCCTTCTCCGTTCCCGACGGCCTGTGAGCTATCGACTTTGAGGCAGACAGTCTGTGATGTGAGTTATTTCACCCTACGAACACGCATGCACACGCAGGGGGCGTGCCCTGAGCGCGCAGCCTTCGGGCAACTGTCATCATCAACATCGTCGTCATCGTCCTCGTCGTCATCATCATCATCATCTTTATCAGCAGCGGCATCATAATCGCTGTCACCGTTCTTATCCGCAGCATCAGCATCCGCATCATCATTATGACCACCACCATCTAATACGTCATGATTACCAGCATCGTCATGAGCAGCATTATCGTCGTCATCATCATCACTATCCTCAGCATCACCACCATCCTCATAATCACCATCATCAGGATCACCATCATCATCATCATCATCATCATCATCATCATCATCATCACCATCACCAGCATCATCATCGCCACCATCATCATCGTCATCATCAGCAACAGTATCGACATCGTCATTGTCATCGTCATCCATGAATATCATCATCATCGTCACCATCGGCACCATCATCATCATCATCATCATCATCATCATCATCATCATCATCATCATTATTATCATCCTTAACAGCACCATCATCATCACCACCAGCAGCAACAGCAGCAGCAGCAGTATCGTCATCAGCAGCGTCATCATCACCATCATCACCATCATCATTAGCATCAGCATCATCATCATCATGATCATCATCCTCATCATGATCATCATCAGCACCATCAACAACACCCTCAGCATCACCAGCATCAACATCATCATTGGCATCATCATCAACATTATCGTCATCATCAGTATCATCATCACTATCACCATAACCATCATCAGTCACCCCCGCACCACCATCATCATCATCACCATCACCATCATCACCATCATAATCATCATCATCATCCCAGCCCAGGCCTCCCCCCTGAATACCTCCAGTGAGTTCCGACAAGGCCTCCAGTCGGACACGGATTCAATCGAACCTCCCAAGAGGCTCCGACACGGCCTCAAGTGAGAATTGCGCAACACATGATGTGGCCTGTTTAGTTTGTCATGCCTACTTGTCATTCGGAACACATGCACCGTCGCTCCAAGGTCGGGGTTCGTGGATGCATGATGTTGCTATCAGTCGTAGCAGCTGTGTTTGCCAAACGGAATATGTGCTGGTTCCAGAGTCGTCATACATCCCCAGGCCGAAAGTTTTTTCCTCTAGCATGGGGACGCATGGATCCATTTGGATCCAATCACGTGTGTGCGAGAGTCACGTGAATCCACTTTCCGTGTCTTCTGGATCTAATTTTTTGGCGTGGAAGTTTCGTGGATCCAATTCTTTTCCTGGAATGCACTTATAAGAATAATAATAATAATAATAAGTAATACAGGGGCCCAACCGGAAATGGATCCACGGAGCCTCGGACCTGCAGCCCAAGCTATGATTCTACGGGGGAGGGGTTTCCCTACCGAGAGACAACACACGGGGACGCGTAGGGAAACACAAACCAGGGGCGGGCGAAGGGGAATATGAGGGAGGAAGGACGATGAGGGAGGGAGAGGACGAGTCATGTGGGCCTCAAGAGGGACATCTTTCGGCCTGCTCAAGTAGAAAGGGTCCGTGCGCAATGAGCCATAAGCACAAGCTCTTGGAACGTCCGCGCGGCGTCACTACATCGGATTACAACAGAGGAGCGGGAACGATTGGAACATCAACAAATTAAGTACGCACTATCCTGAGCAAGCCTCCGACGCGCGCTGCCTCTCATGCGAGGCCATGGCCTCACCCGCCTCGCCCTTAAGGGGCCCGGGCGCATGCCCGCACAGACGATCCGATCCGACCCGATCCTCCCCTCCCGTGCGCGCTGCCTCCGGAGCCCCTGCCGAGAAGGTGCTGCGATGGCGGCAGAGGACGCGAGGGAGTCCGCTCCTGGCGCTCCCGAGGCGGCGGCCGGGACCGGAGGAAGAGAACGCGCCACGACCACGAGGTTCGGAGGCCCCGCGCGCAGCTTTGAGATCGACACCGGGCCCCCTCCCCCCTGGAGCGCGGAGCGCGCCAGGGGCGGCGACGGAGGCGCCGCCCCCAGATCCGAGAGATCCGCGCGGGGAGCCCCCGAAGTTTGTGGGTGTGCGTGCCCTGCTGTGCTTGTTCGGAGGACCGGCGGCCGCAAGACGAGCTTGCGGCAGGGCCAGGACCAGACGAGCCCGCCCGGCTCGCCGCCAGGGCAGGAGAAGCTGGCCGAGCTGGCCGAGACACTGGAGGAGCACCGCGGCCTCCTGCTGAGACTGGACGCGGCGCGGGAGCAGCACGAGGCCCGCGGGGTGTTTGCAGTGGCGCCGCATAGCAGATAGCGCTTGACAGTGGAAGGTCTATGTTGCTGCGGAGGAAGGAGGGATGAGGGGGGTGGATTGGGGAGTGAACGGTGTCAGGTTTTCGGTCGATTTCGCACGACCTGGGCGGTTTTTCAGCCTCGGGACGCACCTCAGAAGCTGCGCCTCGCCGAGGGCGTCCTGGGGGTGCCAGGATTGTCCCGAACGGTCCGATACCTATCTGATTGTGATTCGAGCGGTCTCCACCCGAGAACGCGGGGCGGGATGCCAGGAGGAGGAGGAGGAGGAGGAGGAGGAGGAGGAGGAGGAGGAGGAGGAGGCGGCGGCGGCGGCGGCGGCAGCGGCGGCAGAGGAGGAGGAGGAGGAGGAGGAGGAGGAGGAGGAGGAGGAGAAGCATTGGCACGCTCTGGGTCTGCTGGCCGCGGCATGCCGTCGTCGTCCGCCGAAGGCGCGAGGCCTATTACCCCGGGGAGCACCGGCACAGCTCGGGCCCGGCGGCCGGGGCATGTATTGCCAGTTTGAAGCATATCCCTATCCCTATGCTTGACACCACCTCGCCTCGATGCCGATCTCAAGGATTCCCTCAGTTTCTGAGGGCCCATCCCTGAGATTGCCCTCGCTCTTTGTTGCTCGCCCACCTTAGGGGTAGGGATACGCTCGAGGCTGGTTCATTTAGGGCCTCCGACACTGCCCCCTCCCTTCGCCTCCCTCCCTCCCTCTCTCCACGGCCTGCGCGCGCCCCTATCCCTAAGATTGTCCTCGCTTGTTGCTCACCCACCTTAGGGATAGGGATACGCTCGAGGCTGGTTCGTTTAGGGCCTCCCGCGCTGCCTCCTCCCTTCGCCTCCCTCCCTCCTCCCTCTCTCCACGGCCTGCGCGCGCCGAGCGCCAGAGCGCTGGCGGCCGGGCGCGCCGGTTGGCGGGCGCAGTTGCGCGGGCCGCCTCGCTCCCCCTCCTCCTCCCCTCCTCCCCCCCTCCTCCTCCCCCCCTCCTCCTCCTCCTCTCCTCCCTCCTCCTCCTCCCCTCCTCCTCCTCCTCCTCTCCTCCCCCTCCTCCTCCTCCCTCCTCCTCCTCCTCCCCCTCCTCCTCCTCCTTCTCCTCCCTTCTTTTCCTCCTCCTCCTCCTCCTCCTCCTTCTCCTCCTTCTCCTCCTCCTCCTCCTCCTCCTTTTCCTCCTCCTCCTCCTCCTCCTCCTCCTCCTCCTCCCGTGGGAGGTCCGCAGGACGGCGGATGGCTTCCGCTTGGGAAGGCCTCAGAACCTCGTGGGCGTCGCCCGGAGGGCGCCCTGGCATGAGCTCAGGCAGCGGCGCTCCCGGCGCCTCGGGTGCCGCAGGAGCAGGGGGAGGAGGAGGCGGAGGAAGCACGAGCAGGCGGGGGGCGCGGCGAAAGTAGCCGACCACAGGCGCCCCGTGGGCGAGGGAGTGCCGAGTCCAGCGCACAGCGACGAGGGAGAGGGAGCAGCGGGGGCCCGGGAGGGAAGGGGGGGGGGGCAGAGGAGGGACGAGCGGGAGGGACTCGGCGAAAGCCTGCCCGAGGCGCCCCCGCAGGGGGGAGAGAAAAAGAGAGAGAGAGAGAGAGAGAGAAAACGAGAGAGAGAGAGAGAGAGCGAGAAAGAGAGAGAGAGAGAGAGAGAGAGAGCCGAGCCGGGCACGCGGCGACGAGGGCAGGCAGGCAGAGGGTCAGGGGGAGGGACGGGCGGGCGGAGCCGCAGCAGGGGGAGCGGGAAGGAGGGACTCGGCGCGAGCCTCAGGCGCCCCGCGAGGGAACACAAGGAGGCCGAGTCCAGCAGTGACGTCGAGGGAAGGGCAGCCACCCCCAGGAAGAAGGGGAAGAGGAGGGGCCAGGCGGAGAGCAGCGCCCGCCGGCTCCGCAGAGCCCCGCCGGCCACGAAGGCCCCGCCGGCCCCTCGGAGGGGCCCCGACACCAACGCCGCAGCCCCCCCGCAGCCCCGCCGGGGCGCCACCAGCTACCTCCTTTTCCCCCTCCTCATCCTCCTCCTCCACGTATCCTCCTCCCTCCTCCTCTTTCTCCTCCTCCTTCTCCTCCTCGTCCCCCGCGTCCCCCTCCTCCTCCTCCTCCTCCTCCTCCTCCTCCTCCTCCTCCTCCTCCTCCTCCTCTTCCTCCTGGGGCCTGGAAGCTGATGGCAAGATAATCCGTCGCCTGCTGCATCCCTCCCTCCTCCTCCTCCCTCCTTCTCCCTTCCTCCTCCTCCTCCTCCTCCTCCTCCTCCTCCTCCTTCTGCTCCTCCTCCTCCCTTTTCCTCCTCTTCCTCTTCCTCCTCTTCCTCCTCCTCCTCCTCCTCCTCCTCCTCCTCCTCATCCTCCTCTTCTCTCCCTGAGAGACAAGAGGCAGCCTGATTAATTACACTGGGGTCCTGTCAATCTCGCCTGGAAACAGATGGTTCCCAAGGGGAACCCCGCGGGCGCGCGGGGACCGCCGCGGGAGGCCACCATGCACGCGCAGTCGAAGTGGATCGTGCGCCAGGTGGCGGTGCTGCTGAGGGACTGCGCGCTGAGGGGTGGCGGCGAGGCGGCCGCGGGGCAGCAGCAGGATGTTTCGGCAGCAGATCATGGGAGCCTCGCGTACCCCCCCAATTCCGACCCCAGAGTGCGTTCTCGTCAGTTGGCGCCTCGCAGCCGATGACATAGCGCCGTCTTGGCGTCGATCAGCGTCGATCAGCGTCGATCAGCGTCGACCTGCGTCGATTCGCAACAGCCAACAAGACGGTACGCCAGGCTCCCATGAGAGCTGCCTCAGCAGGATGCCGCGCCGGAGGTGCCCGGCCTCCGGGAGCGACGGGGGAACCTGGTCTCCCCGCCGAGGGTGACTCAACATTATACACTGGTCGTTGAAAGCATGTATTTCGGGATTCCCACATCCTAATCAACTTCAATCGTGTATATATATATATATACACACAATCAATCGTATATATACTTCAATCGTATATATATATATATATATATATATATACAAGCGCCGTCTTACTTCAATCGTATATATATACATATGCTTTGCTGTGTTTTGTTATTCTCTTGGGGGGCTGAACCCAATCTACTTCATCCGCCTTCCTACTTCATGTTTCCACTTACTCCTTCCGACCGACTTGTACATTGCATCTTCATGGGGTCTCGGTTGTTCCCCAGGTTGGTTGTCTTCTTGTGCCCGACGCGGGCTCGACGCGGGCTCTGCGCGGATCTGGCGTGTGGTCGACGCGGGCTCGACGTGGGTTCGACGCGGATTCGACGAGTCCGACCATGGATTCGACAGGGACTCGACGCGGGTAGGGGCGCGACGGGACAGACAAGGCCGCCCGAAGGTCGCCCACGGATCGCCGAGAAGGGGTCCGACAGCCCCACCCCGCCGGGGAACGCGCGCATTCGCTACACTGGGGCCCACCGCCGATCTCTCGGCCATGTGTCGCCGATTCTTGGCCGACGGTTCCCCCCCCCCCCGTGGGGCCCACCGCCGACCTGTCGGCAATGTGTCGCCAGTTCTTTGTCGATGTTCCCCCCCCCCTCCGAGAGCGATCGGCAGGGCCCGAGCACCTCGCGCCTCGAGCCTCCAAAACCCCTCCCCCTCCTCCTCCTCCTCCTCCTCCTCCTCCTCCTCCTCCTCCTCCTCCTCCTCCTCCTCCTCCTTCCCCTCCTCCTCCTCCTCCTCCTCCTCCTCCTCCTCGTCCCCTTCCTCCTCCTCCTCGCCCTCCTCCTCCTCCTCCTCCTCCTCCTCCTCCTCCTCCTTCCCCCTCCTCCCCCTCCTCCGCCTCCTCCTCAGCGTTGCCGCTTGTGCCCCGTCGATGCCCCTGAGGTCTACCCGCTGACGGTGGCGATCCCGGAGATGAGCTTCGAGGAGCAGGAGTCGGCGGAGTCGGCGGAGTCGTCCCTGCGCGCCGCGTCGCCGTCGCGGCCGCGCAGGGTCGGCGGCGGGTCGCGCCTCGAGCGGTATGGCCATGGTCGGTTTGGGCGCGCCGAGGGCCCCGAAACGAGATCCTCCTCTTCCCCTTCCGCCGCCTCCTCCTCCTGCCCCTCGTCTTCCTCTTTCCTATCCTCGTCCTCCAACGTCTCCTCCTCCTTCTTCCTCCCTCTTTCCCATCCTCCTCCTCCAAGGTCTCCTTCTCCTTCTTCTTCCCACCCCCATTCATGAGCAGCCCAAGCAGCCCGACTCACCTCGTGGATGTACTCCCCCATCATCACCGTCACCATCGTGTGTCCATATCTCACCTTCCCGCGCGCATGATCGGGTTTGGGCGCTTCGAGTGCCTTGGAACGAGGCGCCATGGGCCTCTTATGTCCCACCAGAGGAGTTCTAAAGACTTGTTGTGGTTTGCGCTATTTGTTCGAACAATTCTGGTTGAGGCATGTTGTTGTTGTAATGCATGAGCTTGTTGCTCGGAAGGCATTGTATGTGTCCTCAGCTTTTTTGCATTCTAAGGGCGTGTCGCGGGAGGCCCACAGGAACGCCAGGGAATGGACCAATATCGTCGGAGATCCCACGGTGATTTATTCGCAACGTGACACCCCAGAGGTCTCGAACAATTCGCTGGCACCAGCTTCTCCTCCTGAGTTGCTTTGCGACGGTCTTGGTGCCGAGCGAGGGCTCCCAAAGGCTGAACACATCCAAAAATCTGCTGTTTCGGGTTTTTGTTTCACGACGCGAGGGGGGCAGTGGCGGTCTCCATGTCTCAGAACCCTGAGTCACCAGGGCTGGAGCTGGTGAGAGGCAGCTACTGCTTCGTGCCTCCGGGGCCCGTCCGGATTTGACACGGACCAGACTTATCCAAGACAGTTCGGGCGTCCACCTGTTTCCGAGTCACTGCAGAGTGACGGATGCTGGGGGCGGCCAGGGGTATTTGCTGGTCCGCGCGTCGAGTCGAGGACCCCAGCCGGAGTTGCCCCGCACCGTAGTTCTCCCGGATCTCTGGCGTCTATTTGGCATCGCTAGGATGTGTGCATTTTTTCTCGGCGAGAACCATCGAGGAGCATCCTGGACCATCGAGCAAAAAAAACACGCACGAAACCGAACAATGCACTGGAAATGGACGTCTGAGCGACGGCAAGTCTAAATTTCTCCCCTGGCTGACCCGCGGGACCCGCGGGGCCGCCGACACGCGACCGTGGCTCCATGGCTGCGACGGCGAGGCCGGCGCGGGCGGCGGCGCGGCCGTGGCGCTGAGGGACGCGGACGGGGTCGGACACTCAGCCCCCCAAGCAGAATCCAAGCATATGCTCTGGGTGGAGGGCAGGTCAAGGCCTCCCACATGGGGTCCGAGCAGATGGGGTCGGAGGATCGCTTCGCATCGCCGACCGATGCGGACCGATGTATCGGCGATGCGGACCGACGTGGAGCCCGACGAGTTGCGATGCCCCGACACCATCGAGGAGGCCTCCAGCAGCGTGTGACATCTCAAGTGCCTGTGTGGCCCACAGCACAGCCCCACCGGTTCATTCCCCCCCCCTTCCCCCTATCACTTCCCTGCACGGCTCCCTCACCCCTGCTCCACCTCCACGCCACACCCACCTCTGCCGCCACCCTCCGCCCCCGCTTCCAATCCCGACCGGCTCGGACCCAGGCCCAGGGGCAACGTGCCTGGCATCGCTCGGACGTGTGCGTTTTTTTCCTCGGCGAGGACCATCGAGGAGCATCCTTGATCATCTGGCGAAAAAGCCACGCACGAAACCGAAAAAACACAGGGAATGGACGTCCGAGCGATGGCGAGCAGAGGGGGTAGGCTCCAGCTGGGAGGCAGGTCCTCGGGTGGGTTCCTTCGTCCTCGTCGGCTCTCTCCAGCCTCGGGGCGCCTCTCGCCGAGAG